TGATTAGGCTTTTTGTTTTTGTGTGTGTGTGTGTAGGTGTGTGTGTGTGTGTGTGTGTATGTGTAGGTGTGTGTGTGTGTGTATGTGTGTATGTGTGTGTGTGTGTGTGTGTGTGTGACCCATTACAACATTTTAACTAGACTCTCAACCCTTGATTGACTTATTTGGTGAAGCTTACTTATTACGTATTTCATCATCATATTCCTTACCCATTCTCTTATTTATCCAGTTTATGAGAGATAGTAAATACGGGTTTGAGAGAGAGAGAGAGAGAAAGAGAGAGAGAAAGAGAGACGATTCCAGTAAAGCGCATTTGTGATTTATTTATTTTAACCATTGTGCGAGCGGTGTAGGAATCAATACAGCCGGGTTTTTTACAAGCATCAGCTGACTAACCCAGGATCAGCTGGGAGGGGAGGGGGTATAGGAGGACTGAGGGGGAAACAGGAGGAAGGAGGGGGTGGGAGGAGGGGGTTTAGGTTAGGTTAGGTTAGGTTAGGTTAGGTTAGGTTAGGTTAACAATAAGATAAGGCTAGATTAGGTTAGTACACACACACACACACACACACTGCGGTCAGCTGCCTACTCCCTACCTCTCTCTCTCTGTCATTAATATCGTAGACTCAAGAAACTATAAATAGAAATGAAGAACCTGACACTATTGACGTAAGAATGGTAGGTGTGGTAGTTGTGGTAGTGACAGGTAGTAATGGTAGTTGTATTAGTAAAGGTAGTTGTGGTAGTAATAGTAGTTGTGGTAGTAGTGGTAGTTGTGGTAGTAATGGTAGTTGTGGTAGGTGTGGTGGTTGTGGTAGTAGTGGTAGTTGTGGTAGTAATGGTAGTGACAGGTAGTAATGGTAGTTGTATTAGTAAAATGTAGTTGTGGTAGTTGTGGTGGTTGTGGTAGGTGTGGTAGGTGTGATAGTCATGGTAGGTGTGGTAGTTGTGGTAGTTGCGGTAGGTGGTAGTTGTGTTAGTAATGGTAGTTGTAGTAGTTGTGGTGGTTGTGGTAGGTGTGATAGGTGTGATAGTCGGTTGGTGGTAGTTGTAGTAGTTGGTGGTGTGGTAGTTGTGTTAGTAATGGTAGTTGTGGTAGTTGTGGTGGTTGTGGTAGGTGTGTGGTAGGTGTGATAGTCGTGGTAGGTGTGGTAGTTGTGGTAGTTGCGGTAGGTGTGTGGTAGTTGTGTTAGTAATGGTAGTTGTGGTAGTTGTGGTGGTTGTGGTAGGTGTGGTAGGTGTGATAGTCGTGGTAGGTGTGGTAGTTGTGTAGTTGCGGTAGGTGTGGTAGTTGTGTTAGTAATGGTAGTTGTGGTAGTTGTGATGGTTGTGGTAGGTGTGGTAGGTGTGATAGTCGTGGTTGGTGTGGTAGTTGTGGTAGTTGCGGTAGGTGTGGTAGTTGTGTTAATAATGGTAGTTGTGGTAGTAATGGTAGTTGTGGTAGTAATAGTAGTTGTGGTAGTAATGGTAGTTGTGGTAGTTGTGGTGGTTGTGGTAGGTGTAGTAGGTGTGGTAGTTGTGGTAGTTGTGGTAGTTGTGGTAGGTGTGATAGTTGTGGTAGTTGTGATAGTTGTGATAGGTGTGATACTTGTGGTAGTTGTGGTAGTTGTGGTTGTGATAGCTGTGATAGGTGATATTGTGGTAGTTGTAGTTGTGGTAGTGATAGTTGTGATAGTTGTGGTAGTTGTGGTAGGTGGTAGTTGTGGTAGGTGTGGTAGGTTGTGGTAGTTGTGGTAGGTGTGATAGTTGTGATAGTTGTGGTAGTTGTGGTAGGTGTGGTAGTTGTGGTAGGTGTGATAGTTGTGGTAGTTGTGGTAGGTGTGGTAGTTGTGGTAGGTGTGTGGTAGGTGTGATAGTTGTGGTAGTTGTGGTAGTTGTGGTAGCTGTGTTAGGTGTGGTAGTTGTGGTAGTTGTGGTAGGTGTGGTAGCTGTAGTAGAGAGAAGAGGAGAAGGTGTGAAGATAAAAGTGAAATGTGAAGAGAGATAAGAGGAGGAGGAGGAGGAGGAGGAAGAGAGGAAGGGGGAGGAGGAGAGGTGAAGGGGAGGGAGGAAAGGTGAAGGGGAGGAGGAGAGGTGAAGGAGAGGAGGAGAGGTGAAGGGAGGGAGGAGGGAGGGTGAGAGAGAGAGAGAGAGAGGGGTGGGGGGGGGATTGAAGGCTTTGTGTGACCCTTATGTTGTGTCCCACCATGAGGGAGGCAAGGAGAGGGGGAGGATGAGGAGAGAGGGAGGGAAGAAGAGAGAGGGAGAGAGGGAAGAAGGGAGGGAGAGGGAGGAGAGAGGGAAGAAGGGGAGGGAGAGGAGGGAGAGAGGGAAGAAGGGGAAGGAGAGAGGGAGGGAGAGGGAGGGAGAGAGGGAAGAGGGAGGGAGAGGAGGGAGAGAGGGAAGAAGAGGGAGGGAGAGGGAGGGAGAGAGAGGGAAGAAGGGGGAGGAATGCGTTCACGAATAATGTATGGCCAGTTAAAGGGAAGGAAGAGGAGGAGGAAGGAGAGAAAGAGAATGAGAAGAGAATTAAGAGAAGGAGTGAAGAGAATGATAAGGAGGAGGAATAGAGAAGGAAAAGGGGAAGAGAGAGAGAGGAAGAGGATAGAGACAGGTGGAGGAGAAGGAGGAAGGAGGAGAGGGGAGGAAGTGGTGTGTAAGTCTGGGACTACTGAATGATCTGGGTACTACAGGGCTAGTGGGGGCTAATGAGGACTAGTGGGGAGCTACTGAGGGCTACTGAAGGCTAGTAGGGCTACTGATGGCTAGTGAGGGCTAGTGGGGGCTATTGGGCGCAAGTAGGTCTACTGGTTGCTAGTGGAAGCTACTGAGAGCTAGTCTGGGCTACTGGGGCTAGTGAAGCCAGTGAGAGCTATTTGGGGCTACTGAGGGCTAGTGGGGGGCTACTGAGGGCTAGTGGGGGCTACTAAGAGCTAGTGGGGCTACTAGGGGCTAGTGGAGGATATTGAGAGCTAGTGTGGGCTAGTGTGGGCTACTGAGGGCTAGTGGGGGGCACTGAGGGCTAGTGGGGCTACTAAGAGCCAGTGTGGGCTACTGAGGGCCAGTAGGGGCTACTGAGGGCTAAAACTGTAGCCGTCACCCCTTAGCTGTACCCATCGCCCCTTAGCTTTACCATTCCCCTTAGCTGTAGCCATTACCGCTTAGCTGTACCCATGATCCCTTAGCTGTACCCATCGCCCTTCACCTGTAGTCATCACCCTTAGCTGTGTAGCCATCACCCTTCACCTGTAGTCATCACCCCTTAGCTGTAGCCATCACCCCTTTAGCTGTAGCCATTACCCCTTAGCTTTTATCATCACCCCTTACCTTTACCATTACCCCTTAGTTTTACCATCACCCCTTAGTTGTACCCATGACCCTTAGTTGTACCCATCACCCTTTACCTGTGAGTTATCACCCCTTAGCTGTAGCCATTATATCTTAGCTGTACCCATCACCCTTACCTTTACCCATCACCCCTTAGCTGTACCTATCACCCCTTTAGCTGTACCCATTATAAAACTAGGGTCAATTTGGTACAATTAGTCTGATGTCATTTTTTCTTAATTTCAATATTTCTATTACTGCCATCACTGATTATTCCTATTACATACATACAACCATACATACATACAACCATACATACATACAACCATACATACATACAACCATACATACATACAACCATACATACATACAACCATACATACATACATACAACCATACATACATACATACATACAACCATACATACATACACTACATACATACATACATACAACCATACATATACAACCATACATACATACATACATACATACTATACAACATACATACATACATACATACAAACAAGAGTAAAACACACATTACTAGCGAGAGGTGTTGAAGTGGACACACCTGCAACACACCTGCAACACACCTGCAACACAGATACACAACATTAAAACACACATAATAATAATAATAATAATAATAATAATAATGGAAGGATAAGAAAAATAGAAATGTGGGCCAAGGAGGCAGCAGTGGCCAGGCAGGTAACAGTGGCCAGGGAGGGAGCAGTGGCCAGGGAAGTAACAGTGGCCAGGGAGGGAGCAGGCCAGGGAGGTAACAGTGGCAAGGGAGGTAACAGTGGCCAGGGAGGTAACAGGGCCAGGAGGCAACAGTGGCCAGGAGGCAACAAGGGCCAGGAGGTAACAGTGGACAGGGAGGTAACAGTAGCCAGGAAGCAACAAAGGCCAGGGAGGGAGCAGTGGCCAGGAGGTAACAGTGGCCAGGGAGGCAACAGTGGCCAGGGAGGCAGCAGTGGGCCAGGGAGGAATATGAAAGTGGGCCAGGGAGGCAACAGTGGCCAGGGAGGCAGGGCTAGGGAGGTAACAGTGGACAGGGAGGTAACAGTAGCCAGGGAGGCAACAAAGGCCAGGGAGGCAGCAGTGACCAGGAGGGAGCAGTGGCCAGGGAGGTAACAGTGGCCAGGGAGGCAACAAGGGCCAGGGAGGTAACAGTGGCCAGAGGTAACAGTAGCAGGGAGGTAACAGTAGCCAGGAGGCAACAAAGGCCAGGGAGGCAGCAGTGACCAGGGAGGCAGCAGGTAGGAGGTAACAGTGGCTAGGAGGTAACAGTGGCCAGGGAGGTAACAGTGGCCAGGAGGCAACAAGGGCCAGGGAGGTAACAGTGGCCAGGGAGGTAACAGTGGCCAGGGAGGTAACAGTGGCCAGGAGGTAACAGTGGCCAGGAGGTAACAGTGGCCAGTGAGAGGTAACAGTGGCCAGTGAGGTAACAGTGGCCAGTGAGGTAACAGTGGCCAGGGGAGGTAACAGTGGCCAGTGAGGTAACAGTGGCCAGTGAGGTAACAGTGGCCAGTGAGGTAACAGTGGCCAGTGAGGTAACAGTGGCCAGTGAGGTAACAGTGGCCAGGGAGGCAACAGTGGCCATGGTGGCAGTAGAGGCCAGGGAGGCAACAAGGGCCAGGGAGGCAGGAGTGGCCATGGTGGCAGCAGAGGCCAGGAGGCAGGAGGGCCATGGTGGCAGCAGAGGTCAGGGAGGCAGGAGTGGCCATGGTGGCAGCAGAGGCCAGGGAGGCAGCAGTGGCCATGGTGGCAGTAGAGGCCAGGGAGGCAACAGTGGCCATGGTGGCAGTAGAGGCCAGGAGGCAACAAGGGCCAGGGAGGCAGGAGGCCATGGTGGCAGCAGAGGTCAGGGAGGCAGGAGTGGCCATGGTGGCAGCGGAGGCCAGGGAGGCAGCAGGCCATGGTGGCAGTAGAGGCCAGGGAGGCAACAAGGGCCAGGAGCAGGGAGTGGCCATGGTGGCAGCAGAGGCCACGGAGGCAGCAGTGGCCATGGTGGCAGAGGTCAGGAGGCAGGAGTGGGCCAGGGAGGCAAATAAGGCCAGGGAGGCAGCAGTGGCCATGGTGGCAGTAGAGGCCAGGGAGGCAGGGAGGGCCAGGGAGGCAGGAGGGCCAGGAGGCAGCAGTGGCCAGGGAGGCGAGGGCCATGGTGGCAGCGAGGCCAGGGAGGCAGGAGGGCCAGGGAGGCAGGAGGCCAGGAGGCAGCAGAGGCCAGGGAGGCACGGGCCAGGGAGGCAGGAGGGCCAGGGAGGCAGGAGGGCCAGGGAGGCAGCAGAGGCCAGGGAGGCAGGAGGGCTAGGAGGCAGGAGGGCATGGTGGCAGCAGAGGCCAGGGAGGCAGGAGGGCCATGGTGGCAGCAGAGGCCAGGGAGGCAACAAAGGCCAGGGAGGCAGGAGTGCCATGGTGGCAGCAGAGGCCAGGGGAGGCAGCAGTGGCCAGGAGGCAGGAGTGCCGTGGCAGCAGAGGCCAGGGGAGGCAGGAGTGGCCATGGTGGCAGCAGTGGCCAGGGGAGGCAACAATGGCCAGGGAGGCAGTGGCAGGGAGGCGGGAGTAGCCATGCTGGCAGCAGAGGCCAGGGAGGCAGCAGTGGCCAGGGAGGCAGGAGTGGGCCATGGTGGCAGCAGAGGCCAGGGAGGCAGGAGGGCGGGAGCAGCAGTGGCCAGGGAGGGGCAGGAGGGCTATGGTGGCAGTAGTGGCCAGGGAGGCAGGAGGGCCATGGTGGCAGCAGTGGCCAGGGAGGCAACAAGGGCCAGGGAGGCAGCAGTGGCCAGGAGGCAGGAGGGCTAGGAGGCAGCAGAGGCCAGGGAGGCAGTGCCAGGGAGGCAGGAGGGCCATGGTGGCAGTAGTGGCCAGGAGGCAGGAGTGGCCATGGTGGCAGCAGTGGCCAGGAGGCAACAAGGGCCAGGAGGCAGTGGCCAGGGAGGCAGCAGTGGCCAGGAGGCAGGAGTGGCCATGGTGGCAGCAGAGGCCAGGGAGGTAACAAGGGCCAGGGAGGCAGCAGTGGCCAGGAGGCAGGAGGGCCATGGTGGCAGCAGAGGCCAGGGAGGGCAGAGGCCAGGGAGGCAGCAAGGGCCAGGGAGGCAGCAACTCGGCCACACTCATTACCACTTTATTGAGGCCTCAACTGTCGTCCGTCACGACACACACATAAACCGTGTCCCCACCACCCCCTTACCCTCCCTCCCTCCCTCCCTCCCTCCCTCCTCCCTCCCTCCCTCATTCCAGGACTCACGCCCTGCCTCCCTCCCTTGCGTCCAGGACTCACACCCTGCCTCCTTTCCTCCCTACAGGACTCACATCATCCCTCCGGCACTTCCCTCCTACAGCAGGTCGATGCCATACTGGTGCTGACAGTCGTGTGTCACGCACGGCTGACAGAGACTGTTAAACACTACAGGAACAATTTATACTTCGCTTCTGCTACTGTTACTACTGCTACTGTTGTTGTTACTACTGCTACTGTTATTGTTGTTGTTACTTTCTGCTACTGTTGTTGTTGTTACTACGGCTACTGTTGTTGTTACTACCTACTGTTGTTGTTATTTACTACTATTGTTGTTGTTACTACTGCTACTTTTGTTGTTACTACTGCTATGTTGTTGTTACTACTGCTACTGTTGTTGTTACTACTACTATTATTGATTGTTGTTACTACTGCTACTGTTGTTGTTGTTACTACGGCTACTGTTGTTGTTACTACTGCTACTGTTGTTGTTGTTACTACTGCTACTGTTGTTGTTATTACTACTACTGTTGTTATTACTACTGCTACTGTTACTACTGCTACTGTTATTGTTGTTACTGCTACTGTTTTTGTTGTTACTACGGCTACTGTTATACTACTGTTGTTGTTATTACTCTACTACTACTGTTGTTGTTATTTACTGCTACTGTTGTTGTTACTACTGCTACTGTTGTTGTTACTACTGCTACTATTATTGTTGTTGTTACTACTGCACTGCTACTGTTGTTGTTGTGCTAAGCTACTGTTGTTGTTACTACTGCTACTATTTGTTTGTTGTTACTACTGCTACTGTTGTTGTTACTACTGCTACTGTTGTTTACTACTGCTGCTGTTGTTACTACTGCTACTGTTGTTACTACTGCTACTGTTACTACTGCTACTGTTGTTGTTGTTACTACGGCTACTGTTGTTGTTACTACTGCTACTGTTGTTGTTGTTACTACTGCTACTGTTGTTACTACTGCTACTGTTGTTACTACTGCTGCTGTTGTTACTACTGCTACTGTTGTTGTTGTTACTACTGCTACTGTTGTTTATTTACTACTGCTACTGTTGTTACTACTGTTGTTACTACTGCTACTGTTACTACTGGTACTGTTATTGTTGTTACTACTGCTGCTGTTATTCTCTGCTACTGTTACTACTGCTACTGTTGTTGTTGTTACTGCGGCTCTGTTGTTGTTACTACTGCTACTGTTGTTGTTGTTACTACTGCTACTGTTGTTGTTACTACTGCTACTGTTGTTACTACTGCTATTGTTACTACTGCTACTGTTTACTACTGGTACTGTTGTTGTTGTTACTACGGCTACTGTTGTTGTTATTACTACTGCTGCTGTTGTTACTACTGCTACTGTTACTACTGCTATTTGTTGTTGTTACTACTACTACTGTTATTTACTACTGCTACTGTTTATTTCACTACTGTTACTACTGCTACTGTTGTTGTTGTTACTACGGCTACTGTTTTTGTTACTACTGCTGCTGTTGTTACTACTACTGTTGTTACTACTGCTGCTGTTGTTACTACTGCTACTGTTACTACTGCTACTGTTGTTGTTGTTACTACGGCTACTGTTGTTATTACTACTGCTACTGTTGTTACTGCTACTGTACTACTGCTACTGTTGTTGTTGTTACTACGGCTCTGTTGTTATTACTACTGCTACTGTTGTTGTTGTTACTATTCTACTTTGTTACTACTGCTGCTGTTGTTACTATCTGCTGTTACTACTGCTACTGTTGTTGTTGTTAAGCTACTGTTGTTTTTCTGCTACTGTTGTTACTACTATTTGTTACTACTGTCTATTCTTATATTACTGCTTCTGTTGTTTGTTACTACGGCTACTGTTGTTACTACTGCTACTGTTGTTGTTACTACTGCTACTGTTGTTACTACTGCTGCTTTGTTGTTACTACTGCTACTGTTACTACTGCTACTGTTGTTGTTGTTACTACGGCTCACTGTTGTTTGTTACTACTGCTAGTTGTGTTTATTACTATGCTGTTGTTACTACTGCTATGTTACTACTGCTACTGTTGTTGTTGTTACTACCTTACTGTTGTTGTTCTACTGCTACTGTTGTTTCTACTGCTACTGTTGTTACTACTGCTTATTTCTGTTACTACTGCTCACTGTTATTGTATTCTTGTTATTACTACTATAGTTGTTTCTGCTGCTTTTTTTACCACTGCTATTTATTACTACTGCTACTGTTTTGTTGTTACTACAGCTTCTGTTGTTTACTACTGCTACTGTTGTTGTTGTTACTATACTATTGTTACTACTGCTGTTGTTACTACTTTCTTTGTTACTACTGCTACTGTTGTTGTTGTTACTACATTCTGTTGTTGTTACTACTGCTACTGTTGTTGTTACTACTGCTGCTGTTGTTACTACTGCTGCTGTTGTTACTACTGCTTCTGTTACTACTACTGTTGTTGTTGTTACTACATTTCTGTTGTTACTACTGCTACTGTTGTTGTTGTTACTACTGTTATTGTTGTTGTTACTACGGCTACTGTTGTTCTTCTACCTGCTACTGTTGTTCTTTACTGCTACTGTTGTTCTTACTACTGCTACTGTTGTTACTACTGCTGCTGTTTTTTACTACTGCTACTGTTGTTATTACTACTGTTATTGTTGCTACTGTTGTTACTACTGCTGTGTTGTTACTACTGCTACTGTTATTACTACTGTTATTTGTTCTGCTACTGTTATTTTCTGCTGCTGTTGTTACTACTGCTACTGTGTTATTGCTGCTATTTACTGCTACCTTGTTGTTACTACTGATACCGTTGTTGTTATTACTGCTACTGTTGTTGTTACTACTGTTACTACTGCTACTGTTGTTGCCTACTGGTACTGTTACCACTGCTACTGTTGTTGTTACTACTACTGTTATTGATACTGCTGCTGTTTGTTACTACTGCTACTGTTGTTGTTACTACTGCTACTGTTGTTGTTACTACTGGTACTGTTACTACTGTATTGTTTTCTGCTACTGTTACTACTGCTACTGTTGTTACTACTGCTACTGTTGTTACTACTACGCTTCTGTTGTTGTTACTACTGCTAATGTTACTACTGCTACCGTTGTTGTTATTACTGTTGATACTACTGCTATGTTTATTCTACTATTGTTTGTTACTATCTGTGTTGTTGTTGTTACTACTGTTAATGTTACTACTGCTACCGTTGTTGTTACTACTGCTACTGTTGATACTACTGCTACTGTTGTTGTTACTACTCTTACTGGAATACTATTGCTACTGATGTTGTCACTATTGCTACTGATGTTGTCACTATTGCTACTGTTGAGACTACTGCTACTGTTGTTGTTACTACTGCTACTGTTGTTGTTACTACTGCTACTGTTGTTGTTACTACTGCTACTGTTGGTACTACTGCTACTGTTGTTGTTACTACTGCTACTGTTGATACTATAACGACTGTCACCACCACCCACTCAACCTCCATACACCAAAGGCCACTTTACGAGAACGCTGGGGGAACTTAACGACACCACTTGGCCAATACCTTCCTGAGGGTGAGGACTTCCCGCTTTACACCGGAGACGTGCTTATAGACCACCTTCAGCGCCTTCTGCAAGTTATGGAGCAAGGAGATAGGGCCAGAGTACTCCAGCGCCTCTAAAGTTTGGAGAAGTTATGGCCTGAGGGGAAGCTCCAAGTGCCCAGCCGAGGACGATGGTGATGATGGTGACGATGTTGGTGACGATGTTGAGAACGATGGTGACGATGTTGACGATACTGAGGACGATTATGGTGACGATGTTGAGGACAATGATGTTGACGATAATGACGATATTGAGGACGATGAGGAAGATAAGTGACGATGTTGAGGAAGATGTTAGATGAGAAAGGAAGGTGTCTGGCACTGTGAGAAAGACCATGTATATATCTCACTTCACTACTGGAGACGTAATAGTGACACAGTACTTACCATCATCGCCTCAAGGGGTTAAATCATCGTACTCTTAAGGTTAAGTCGTACTCAAGGGGTTAAATCATCGTTCTCAAGGGGTTAAATCATCGTCCTCTTAAGGTTAAGTCGTACTCAAGGGGTTAAATCATCGTCCTCAAGGGGGTTAAATCATCGTTCTCAAGGGGTTAAATCATCGTCCTCAAGGGGTTAATATGCCCAAAACAATTATATCTACCCATTAACTGTAAAAAATAAAATTGGGTTACATACATCATAAATAATAGTCTAAGTCCCATTAATGGGGTTAAGTCTACATAAAATATATAAGGTTACTATACGTTCTAGATAACAGCCCATTATTATATTACCCACTGACAGGCTCACTAATGGAGGTAGCCCGAGGGGAGGGGAGGAGGGAGGGGTGGAGGGGGGTGGGAGGGAGGGGGGGGGGAGGAGGGGGTGGAGGAGGAGGGGTGGATGGGGAGGGGAGGAGGGTGGAGGAGGGGGTGGAGGAGGAGGGGGTGGAGGGGAGGGGAGGAGGGAGGGGGAGGGGAGGAGGGAGGGGGTGGAGGAGGAGGGGTGGAGGGGGAGGAGGGAGGGGGATCAGTCCATTAGTAAATTCTGAGAGAGAGAGAGAGAGAGAGAGAGAGAGAGAGAGAGAGAGAGCCAACCGTCTATGATAATGTGATGGTACCATAAGGACGAGACTGTATTAATGTGAAGACTCCCTCGGGTTTGTGGTTTAAAGCCTAGCCAACCAAGCTAGCCCCTTACCATATAGAGCTGAGGTGTTCAATGTTGCCAGAGAATATAACCATCAATACCTCACTAAACCATCGCTACAACTAAACATTAACTTATTACATTATCTATACTAAGCGTCAATACATATACGTGAAAGCTTAAAGGAGCGTGAAAGCTTTAAGGAGCGTATTGGTGTTTTCATTTTGATTTTATTTATTTATTTATTTTATTTTATTTTGTGAGGGGATAAGTCGTGTGAGAACGGAGGTAGCTTCTTGCGGCTGTTGTTACCAGTGACCACGACCCAAGTACCTTACCCTCTCTGAGCCAAGGGGAACTGTGTCTTACAAGAGGGTCGCTGCAGGGCAAAAATGGCTTCAAATGTATCCTGGACCAGAGTGGCAACCATACCTTAGAACCATTTATCTATATAACCTTTTAACTTTCATTTCTGTTTTATTTTCTTGTTCAATTTAGTTTTCTTTTATATTTTATTTCAATTTTCATTATTTCATATACGTTTTCAATTTTCATTTCCTTAATACAGTCGTTGAACTAAAATATATTCTATTCATTCAACTTCACTTTCCAGGCGTCAAAGGTTCCAGTAATACTACAACACAAATATGTCCGAGGTTTATAGCCATTCCGACCAGAAGGGCGGATCCAGGAGTATCAAAAAGGGGGGTGGGGGCGGCATGAAGTGGGTGGGGAACATGCCGAGCACAGCGAGCTCATCCACCTAGGGGAGGAGGGGGGGAGGGGGTAATGTAAGCCCCTTCCAGGAATTTTTTTCGTAAATCTTACCAACATCATGGACATTAAGAGGCCATTTTGAGGCCATGTGCACTTGATATTAGGAGATATTCTGAGGTCAGTAGTAATTACTTTTTACTACCAAAAAACACCTGCGTACAATACTGCATTAAATAAAAAGTAATGGAATTTTCTGATAAAAAGGAGGCGTCCAAACCCCCGACTGGCGGCTGAGTTATTGTGGACAATCTTTTAATACATGTAAAATTAACCGACTAAAGACAGAATAATAATAATAATAATAACAATAACAATAATAATAATATCAGAGTTAGCACCACAATAAACAAATGAGCATCATTATTATCCCATCATTCTCACATCTAATGAACGTCATAACCTGAATAGTAACCATCCCCAGCTTATGATCAGCAACACTAACCTAACCTAACCAGCCTTACAGCTAATCTAACCTAATGTTAACCTAACCTAACGTTACCTAACACCTATTGGTAGCGTCTGTTTGGTTAATCTTCAGGTGAAATAAACTCAAGGTTAAAAAAAAAGTAAAATATAATATCTAGAGAAAGTTGGTGCCATCAGCTGAGGTTTTCCTTCCATGTTTACCTCACGTGACGCATAACTCACTATGAACTCTCCACACTTTTAAAATAGTTTTCTGACTGTATTTCGTCACTTATCTTTCAATATATGTTTATAAATAAGTTATATGTAATATTTAAATTATTCCGTGTATTTAAAATAAGCGTAAAAAACGTATATAATAATGAAGAAAATAAGAACAGTAGGAAAAACGCTGGATAATTAATCGCCGATATGGGACTTGATCTTCACGTCTTAGTAAGCAAATGATATCAGTCACACAAAACCTACCTAATCCTTCCTTAACTAATATATAAACGTAATAGCATCGTTAGGTTAGGTTAGTTCGTTATGGTTGTTTTAAGGGATTTATTCGAATATATATTGAAGAAGAGACGTAATTGTGGCGGGAGACTGACACACGGAGATACTGAAGCTGGTATTGACAGATGTGTGTGAATGTTGGTGACGGGAGAACCTTTTCTTTCTCAGGTAAAGACACAAAATACGAGAAATAGAAGTACTGTACATATTGGATCAGTTTCATGGTGCTCTCTCTCTCCATTAGGACCGGAGACAAAGACTTCCTATGATCGCCTCTAAAAGCTACAGAATATTTGTCTCACATTGAAGATAACCTAACCCAACCTGTCTTAACCTAACCTAACTCAACTCAACCTGTCTTAACCAAACCTAACCTAACCTCTAACCAACCTAACCTAACCTGTCTTAAAACCTAACCTAACCTGTCTTAACCAAACCTAACCTAACTGTCTTACAACCTAACCTAACCTGTCTTAACCAAACCTAACCTAACCTGTCTTACAAACCAAACCTAACCTAACCTAACCTGTCTTAACCAAACCAGCCTAACCTAACCTAACCTAACCTAACCTAACCTAACCTGTCTTAACCTCTCATCTAACTGTACCTAACTCAACCTAACGTAATCTAATTTAATCTAACAAATTCTAATATAAGTTAACCTAACTAATCTAACCAAACCTAATCCAACGGTACCCTAATGCAGCCTAACATAACCTAACGCTAACGTAACATTAAGCTAACGTAACCTAACGCTAACGTAACCCTAAGCTAACGTAACCTAACGCTAACTTAATGCTAACTTAACGTAACCTAACGCTAACGTAACATTAAGCTAACGTAACCTAACGCTAACGTAACCCTAAGCTAACGTAACCTAACGCTAACTTAATGCTAACTTAACGCTAACCGAACGCTAGCCTAACGCTAACTTAATGCTAACTTAACGCTAACCGAGCGTAACTTAACGCTAACGTAACCTAATGTAACCGAACGTAACTTAACGCTAACGTAACCTAATCTAACGTAATAACCTCACCTAACCTTACACACCCCACCTGACCAGTTCCCCGACAGACACACACACACACACACACACACACACACACACACACACACACACACACACACACACACACACTCCTGCAATACAGCCCGACTTTAAATCAGACTAAGTTTTGCAAGCAGCGTCAAACTACTTGCCTTATCACGATCAACACGTCTTGTTTAACAGGGAATGACGTAGTGTTTGCTTCTTGTGGGAGGGAGGGAGGGGGGGCACTCGACCCGACCAATACGGGCAGGTCCTCTCCTAACAGCGTCACATTTATCTAAAAGCTCAATTAAAGATTGACTCAGAATGTCAAACTGAAAGCTAAGTGTAATTTGGGGATTGGCAAGAGGTCGTGTGTGTGTGTGTGTGTGTGTGTGTGTGTTGTGCCGCTGACGTTGTGTTGACAATCTCCTTCTACTCTGCTGCATCCAAACTTTTCAAGCGCAGTGAGAGAGAAAGGTAGAAAGAGAGAGAGAGAGAGAGAGAGAGAGAGAGAGAGAGAGAGAGAGAGAGAGATTGGCCACCACTTACTATTATTTTTATAAGAATTTGTCAGTCGGTGTTATTAATATTATTGAAGTTTCCTCTGATCTATATTCTTTGTGTGTGTGTGTGTACTTGAACACCTAAGCAGACATGTATACAGTTCAGTGCCCACCCAGGCACAGGTCACTACTCACATCTGGGCCGAGGGGTAATAATAATAATAATAATAATAATAATAATAATAATAATAATAATAATAATAATAATAATAATAATAATAATAATAATAATAATATAATAATAATAATAATAATAATTATTATTATTATTAATAATTTAAATTAATTAAATTAAATTAAATTAAATTAAATTAAATAAATTAAATTAAATTAAATTAATTAAATTAAATTAAATTAAATTAAATTAAATTAAATTAAATTAAATTAAATTAAATTAAATTAAATTAAATTAAATTAAATTAAATTAAATTAAATTAAATTAAATTAAATTAAAAATAAAATAAAATAAAATAAAATAAAATAAAATAAAATAAAATAAAATAAAATAAAAAAATAAAATAAAAATAAAATAAAATAAAATAAAATAAAATAAAAATAAAATAAAATAAAATAAAATAAAATAAAATAAAATAAAATAAAATAAAATAAAAATAAAATAATAAAATAAAATAAAATAAATAAAATAAAAAAATAAAAAATAAAATAAAAAAATAAAAAAATAAAAAAAATAAAAAAAAAAAAAATAAAAAAAAAAAATAAAAAAAATAAAATTAAATTTTAAAAAAAATAAAAATAAAATAAATAAAATAATAAAATTAATAATATATATTATAAATTAATATAATAAATTAAAATAAAATAAAATAAAATAAAATAAAATAAAATAAAATAAATAGAATAGAATAGAATGAAATAGAATGA